TCCTCTCCGCCGAGTCCTCGCCCCCTCGCGGCAAGACTCCCCTCCCCTCGCAGCCCCCACCCAACTAAGCCCTCACCTTGCCCCCAACGCACTCGGCCCGAGGCTCTCACCCCGGGGCCCCCGTCCGCCCGGACCCCTCTCCCTCCCCCCGGTCTCCCCTCCCCTAGTCCTCTCCTAGGCCCTCCCTATCAGCCACCGGCTCCCCTCACTTCTTGCCCCCTTCTCACCTCTCACCCCTGCTCCAGGGACACCCCCTCACCCGGGACCTGTGGGCGTGGCTACGTCCGCCCAGGTCACCATGACAACGTCCGCGGGTCACCGAGCCCCGCAGTGCGCATGCGTGCCCCCTTGCGCCCGCGGGCCCAGGGTGCTGTGGGGGTGGGTGCTGCGGACTGCGGCGGGTGTCCGTGGGCGCCGGGTGGAAAGCGGGGTCAGGGGCGCCCCTCAGCACTTTAGAACGTCCCGCAGAGCCTGGGGCGCCTGGACCCGCACTTCCCACGCTAGAAGGTTGCGAGGAGGCCGAGCTCCGGGGTCCGCGCGCCCTCTGTGAGAGCGCTCACCAGAAAGTTCCTCGGCCCGGCCGGGTGGGGACAGGTCCTGGAGGAAAGGCCCCGGAGGGCACCCCGGGGGTGTGACCCGGAGTCACAGGGCTCCCCACCAGGTGCGGGCTGGAGGTCTCTGCAGGTGGCATTGTAAGATGTCCAAGCCCTACCCCGAGGGGTGTAGACGTCTTAGGAAAGAGATACCGGAATACCGCCCTGGAGGAAGAAGAACTGGTGGACGTCGCCAGCCGCTGGGGCCAGTGAACGGGCAGCTTTACTGGTGGACTCTTTCCAAACAGGAGGAAAAAGGAGGATTGTAAGGATCTACGTTAAGAGTCTCAGGTCCCAGGGAGAGAAAGCAGAGCAGGTGGACCCCCGATCAGGTGCTTCGGTCACGTGGCCAAATCCCCGGGGAGCATGTCTAGAAGTTTCCAGAGTTTTCTAACCATCGACAAAGAACTGCGCTGTGCCCACATGTATAGTTGTAGGTACTGGAAGCGACTGGAATAGGTGATTGACAAAATAGAATTGTCACTTTGGTAGTTAAGGTAGGTTACTGGCACCTCGCAGTGGACATAACTGAACCCCAGCGTAGCCCAGTACTGGGGGGGGAAGGGGGGGTCTAGGGTCTCCCTGGTTGCCTTGAGATACTTTTTCTGGAATGGATAGGACTTTGCCAGCTGTTGGGGATCCATCCTGACCTTCTCCAAAGAAGCAAAAGTGTCCTAAGAGTTCCAAAGGACAAAAGGACTTATTTCCTGCCTCAGAGTGAAGTGAAACAGTGAAGTGCGAAAAGGTTACAAGGCTGTTGTAACTGAAGAATGCAAATGAACACGAGGTGACATTTTTCCACCTACCAGAATAAGAAACATAAAGACTGGGACCCGGTGTTGAGAAGGATGTAGGG